GATAACATTGCGCCATTTTCGCAATAGCAGTTGGGTTTTTAGACAGTTTGGTCAAAAACAGAGCAAGTCCAGCATCAAAATAGCTAGTTAATGATCAGTGGGTGGCTGAGGGGACGAGCGCTCAGATTTCGATCGTGGCTCCGTTTCTAGGCCATTTTTCTCGCAACGGATCTTGGACTTGTTGTTAGACAAATAGCGTTGAGACTCACCATGTTTCCTTATTGACCAGCATTCCTCGTAGTTGATCGTTGACACTTTGCGGGCACCAATTCGTGCGAGTTATGTTCGTGCAGATGTTCGACACCGCACTACGACCACCTGCTCGACATGGAATGTTCTGGCCGAGTTGGAGGAACGCTTCGAATGTAGCTGAAAATAGCGTTGAAATTCATAGTTTTACCCGATACTGAAGTGAGAAATATATTGTTCTGAATGCTAAAATCAAAATCAGGACAACTTGGTGGGATGGCAAGGGTCCTACTTGGGATTCGTGTGGATCGTAGATGGGGGTAGGCAGTTAGTCATTTTAGCGTCACATATCCGCTGTCATACCAGCGTGCTCCCCCTGGACGAAATTTGAGAAATTTCAGTAGCGAGTTCAATAGAGATTTGTCACGCAAAAGCAGGACTAACAAAACTGTTGGCACCCTTGTGTCGGTCATTGTCACGGTCATTGTCGTGTGGAGGGGGGTGGGTAGGGCTGGTACAGGAGGGTAGGAGTCGTGTTGGTGTGGGGTTGGCTTGACACCTGATTCACCTAGCAGAAAAGAACGGAAATATGTCTAATCAAGGAGACCCTCTCCACTTAAAATTCCGAACCTTGGAGTACAAAATAATTATTTGGGAAATTTAACGTGGAGCTATATTTTTGCTAGAAGCTCCCCAACAGGCATAGGTGTTTCGTCAAGGCATTTCGTCGAAAACGCTGTGAAAAAGGTCCACAGTAACCTTTCAGTGGATTGTTTGTGTTCTGACAATTTTTATTCTGAAATGTATTCATTGGGGTGCGCCACGCACTTGTCTACCATCTATATTTCGCGAAATTTTCTGTGCAGGACTGAAAGCATTGTTGTTTCAGTAGTTGAGTGGCGATTTGAAGGAACTCACGGATTCTGAATTGGCTGGCGCATTTTGAAGGACAACTTCACACGGTAACAGCCAGGAAATGATATTGTCCGAG